TTTTTTTTTTGACATTTCAATAAATTGTTTTCTTTCTGTAGAAAGCTTTTTGTTGAATTCGATCCACCATCAGTTGCAAACCTTGATATTGAGAGATTGCTGTCAACAAGAGTTCAAGGCAGTACATTGCTCTCTGAACCCAAACTTCGTTCGATCATTGAGAATGCTAAGGAGTTCCTCAAGGTATATATTTGATAAACATATTATATAAATCATGCTTTCGTATATAGTTATATGCATAGCAATCATCATGGTTGAATGCCTGCCTAACCTCAATTTGTTCAATTCAACCACTTTGTTCTTCTTCTATTTGGAACTAACCAAGTAAGAAAAATCTGAATTTTTTTTCAGCTTACTACTAACAACCCTTTTTATAAACACACCATTTCTCGACTTGTGCAGTATGCAACTCTATATGTCAAGGAAGTATAATAAGATGTAAAAAAAAAAAAGAGCTCGTTATTTATTACTTTTTACTATTCGTAACAAAGTACATGGATTTGTCGGTTTTTGTAGATCCAGCAAGAGTTCGGCTCCTTCAACAACTACTGCTGGCGCTTCGTGAACCACAAGCCGATCGGGAGTGGGGCCCGCCACGGGCGGCAGGTCCCGACCAAAACGCTGAAATCAGAGCTCGTGAGCCGGGACCTGATCCGGAGGGGTTTCCGTTGCGTGGGGCCTACGGTCGTGTACTCGTTCATGCAGGCGGCCGGCCTGGTGAACGACCACCTTGTGACTTGCTTCAGATACGTCGAATGTGGTCGTGCTGCTGCGGACAACAAGGACCATCGTCCCAAGACCTCGGATGGAGAAAAAGATGGCACGACGTACGATGATTCGCCACTATCCTTAAAGTCTTGAAACTGAGGTTATTATTTAATAATGATCCTAACAGCTGCTAATATAATTAGTTGTTATCTTCTTTTACCTTTTCTGTATTTGAGTTGTGGTGTGTGTGTGTGTGGTTGCTTGGTTGCATAATTTCATACAATTTGTGTGTTTATAGTAATATGTGTTGTGGTCTTGATAATATTCTATGATGTTCAATTTCATGAATTAAATTCTGGTAGAGGCTTTGATGTACTTTTGCAGATTGCATTATATATACGATGTTATGCTTTAATGTTACCATTTACATATAAAAAAATATATGAATGTCGTTTCACCGTAGAAGTATATATTTTCTATTTAAAACATATTATGAAGCAATCTTATTTGTTGGGTTTTATCTCTAGCCTACTCCAACTTGCTTGGGACTAAAAGGCTATGTTGTTGTTGTTGTTGTATGAAGCAATCTTATTTAATCGTTCTCGTATTTACACTTGTGCGTATGAATCAGCTTGGCTACTCTTCCTTTCACTTCCATTAGATTAGGTACTTAGTTTTATTTTTATATATTTAGCTTATGTTAGTAGTGGTGCAGATTGTACTACTGGACACTTGTCTGAATAATCTAGTGAACTCTGAAGGAAACAAATGCTGTGATGACCCAGAAATCCTTGAGGATGAATGCAACCCTGACTAGAACTGTTGAAGAAATGGAGATCAAGAAAGCTATGATGGAAATAGAAATGGAGACCATTTTATTTAAATGGTGGATGCACTCATTATAAGTTTCATCTAGTCTAACTTATGAATCTTGATAAATCCTCTCTTTTCTTTTCAAAAAACACAACTCTCCAAACCAAAAATGGAAATTTGTTATAAATCCAAATATTTTTTAATCAACCATTTTTTTTAACTCCTTTAACCCAACCCCACTATCATTAATATTATTAATATAATTAAATAATAACAACCAGACATTTATACACATCACACCAACCTTAATTCACTATTCATCCACTTAAATAATTTAAACTAACCATCACTTCAAATCATCGCTCTCATACTTTTATATCAAATCAACTTGAATTATTATGTTTTAAATATTATTTTAATATACTCACTAGCAACTAACCGTACCTCTTTTTTCAAAATTAACCAAACCAAACCAAACCAAAAATCCCAACAAATCCAAAAATATTTACATCCAAGCATTAGCATCCTAAGGGTCTGTGAAAAGTGTTTATTCTGCCATCCTAGCTCTCATCAGAACCAAAACTTGGAGTTAGCGGGCACCAACTCAGGTCACACAAAGGTGTCCAGAATGCAGGGGCGGAGCCAGCCTCATCATTCACCGGGGTCAGCAATATTTTTTAGTGGGGTCATTAACCTAGTAAACAGTGTTTGAACAGTATTTTATACTAAAAATTTTGAAATCTATAGGGGTCAGCTGACCCCAGCTAGCAAGTGCAGCTTCGCCCCTGCCAGAATGTGGGAGGCTACATGGAAATTGCCCATTGCAAAGAAGCTGAAACTATTCATTTGGAAATGTTGGAATGGCTTCATGAGCACAAACAAAAAGCTAAACGAAAAGAAGATGGAGGTGGATACTATCTGCAGCTTGTGTGGAGTGCAAAAGGAAAATTTGGATCACATCTTATTTATTTAACTATGGAAGAGCTTTAACTTGTTGGAAGTCAATTGGAATCTAGTGGAGCAGCATGGAGGGAGACCTCACCAGCTTTCGGAAATGGTGGAGTGAAGTGTGCAAAAATGGATGGGAAAGCCAATTAGTAGACGTAATCATTCTTTCGACCTACCTCTTCTGGTGGTTGTGGAAGACCAGGAATGCTTGGATGTTGAACAAGCAATGGACCGAAGAGAGGATACTGATGGAACTTGCTAAAAGAGATTGGATAGAGTGTAAACTTCATTAATGATCTTGAATAAATAATTTGGTGTATACGAAATACTTACTTGATGCGGAAGACGACATAATTAGTGATCTTGATCTTGATGATCACAAGAGGCTTGATCGATTGTTAGAACTAAATTAGTTTCTCCCTCCTGTCCAATCTTAACGTAGCAGAAAAGTGATGGGATTATGACTGCGTACCCTAATAGAAGGAGAGAGGACTAATTTATATAGGGGTGTCTTTAGATCTGGTACGTCCATCAAATATCCAGATTAATGGCTTAGATTTGTTTGACTATTAAATAAGGTCTGGCCCAATAGGATAATTAAATGTGAGCCCAATGCTTTCGGGCCACATATTCTTACATTCTCCCACTTGGTCCGAAAGCCCATAATTTAATAGTATAACATTAGGTGCACATAAACAAATCCCATTATGCCATGCATCATAATAAACTATGACATGATAAACCATATAGTGAGAGTTATGGCGGTTGTACACTCTCGATTCGCATACTTCCTTCCATATACTACTACACTAATAGTTCAACACATCAAGTTCCATAATTATATATAAATATCATAAT